CAGAAAAGTATATAATTTTAAATGACTTATGCAAAAAAAGTGCTATGGATTTATAATTTGGGTTTATATGTCAGGCCTCAGGAGCCAAAACAAATACAAATGGCCAACACTGAAATAGGTTTGAAGACCTATAATAATAATTTGGTCCTAAAATCAAGAGTTAAAATCATTCAACGAAATTGCAGAGGAAGGAGGAGGAGAAGAAGAAACATGACCGAAAAAATTTCATGTAACCGTTAAGAAATTGAATCCACTTAACGAAATGGCATTAGAAGGAGGAGTAGAAGAAAAAGAAGAAACACGAGGGAAAACAATAACTACTAAATTACAAAAATTACAATAATTAATAAAAACTAAAAAAGTACGGCATTTGCTTCTGAGTATATTTCAGTCCATGTAATCCCTCCCCATTACAAAATGGATTGTTCGTGCCCTTAGTTCGTGCCAGTTGTTCTCGAAACCCTCATAAATTGCTTTTCAGTGTTAGTAAACCCAATGTAGTTATTTTGAGTAACAAATATTCTCGAAGAACCCAATATAGATATTTTAAGTAAAAGATTCGAAGATCACCAGAGCCAAAAACGTCCCATTTTACACAATTTTAGATGGTGTGTATTTGTACCATATTAAAGTGGTGCATGTCAAAAGCGTGAATGATGTTCTGTAGACATGAGTCCAAGGTATCCCCATACCGATTTCAGGTCATTTGGATTTAATACCAGGGCTTCATATCCCAAATGTACAATGTTTTGCGGCTTTTGCCTGAAAAACGCCCCAAAGCCCTCAAAACCTGAATAAAACAATTTTTAAATCCTGCATAAAACATAGGACGTCTGAGAGTATTCGGCCACTTTACCTTCATTCCAAATTCCATGTCATTTGGCCGAAAAAATAAGAAATTGAATTCATTTAACGAAGGAGAAGAAGGCCGGAGGAGATCTAGAAGAGGCACGAGGGAAAGCAATATATTTCATTCATACATATGGTATGAAATGAAATATATATGGACTACGTGGTGTTGGTGAAGCCATGATAACGCACCAATGATTCGTTTGCCGACGACAGCGTCATATTTAGAGCACATTCCGGCCTTGTTGCAGACTTTGGTCACGAAACAGTTGACGAACCGGAAGTCGCCGCTGCCAGTCGGGTTCCAGTTGCAGTGTGGATAGGTGTAGTTGATGTAGCATGGTGGATTCCGGCTTGCGTTAAAGTTGTGGATGTTGAAGTTTTCAGGATCGTTGTTGAGAGTTGGGGTGTCGGCAAGGAAGTTTCCAGAAAAATGAAGGCGAGGGTAGCCTGGATGGAAGTAGACGCCAGTATTATTTTCTGGGTATCCGGAAACGGTGGGCTTAAGGGCTAGAACTACCTCGATCAAACATCCGAACAGAGTCAATTTTGACCCCAGGCATATATTTTGATGTGCCCTTTTAATTTGTTTTTATCTTAGAAACAATTCCTTCCGTGACTTTGTCAGTAAACGTCTTCTTCAGCTTCTCCTAATTTCTTTTTTCTTAGTTTGGCACAATTTTGTAAAAATTACAAAGGAAAGTCTGATCTATAAAGTCCGACTGGGATCAAAACTGACCCCAGCAATATGGGCTTTTTTTAAACAAATGGCTTTGGCTGCCCAGAATATGTCTATCAGGAACTATAATTGCTATTTGCATATTATGCAGTTTGCCAAGTAACCTCAGCCTCAGGTGAAGCCTTTGCAAAACTGTGACTTCCTCCAAAATCGGAGAGTGACTTACTGATGAAGGAATCCGGACACCCGAGTTTTGGCAATTTTCAGCTACAAACAAGCTGTCAAAGGATATTTGTATTTATGGCGGACAGGACCTCATACAAAATACGTTTAATATGAGTTGAGAATATGACCATAAATTATGAGTATATAATAATGAGTATATTATGCTAATTTCAGCCTTACTGAACATGCATGAGATCTCCAAATTCTTGTTTATCGTAAGAAACCTATTGAACTTGTCAGTAATCTTGCAGAGGTTAGCGACAATTAAAGACTTGTAGAAAGACACGAACACATGAGGAATCAAAGATGTTATATAGTATATAATCATCAAATACGATCAGACACCCACCTGCGTTAGTGAACCACACACGCCCCAGAAACAGGAGAATGGTGATCGTTAGCTTCATCTTCGTTGCCATGAACAAGACTCCACGTCCGCTTCTTGGCGGATAACTGCAGTGGTTGTAGGAAAAATCATTTGTTTGTTTGTTTGCTTGTTTGTTTGTTTGTTTGTTTACAAAAATGGAGTCTACCGAGCAGCATTCCCTTGCGGCTGTGACAGTGTACGTACTGTTAGATCACGGATGTATCGTGAAGGGAGACAGAACCTGGGAAACAGTTTTGGTAGACCCGGATCTGTCAACAGTTGACGTGGCAAATTGAAGCAGACATTTCTCTCTACGCACATATATGTACCTGTATATGCTGCAAGTTTGCGTCGTCGCAATCGTAACATTACAAGTCTCTGTTGACAAACAACTGCAAGAATACCTCAATGTATTTCCTATGGAGCCTCATAACTACCAAAATTCACAGTTTAAGCCAATCTATGTAGCTAACGCAAGTTCACCTAGAATGTGGAAGGCGTAGGTTTTGCCACACCCAATGCCTGTTGGTGGAATGGGCTTCCTCCGACAATTAAAACAGCTAAAAAATATTCCAAAATGTAAGAGTATGATGAAATTGTCTTGAACTGAAATGGGCTACTGAGTTAATACTGATATTCACACAATTTTGGAGATAATTAAGTCAATGAAATACGATAGGCACATATCAATTACACAAATCAAATTGTCTCTCTAAATGGAAAACAAATTGGTGTTAAATATCTGTCTTCGTGTATACTTCTACTAACATTTCTTTAGAAAAGGGTCCACGGTGAGAGATAGCCACATTTACGAATTAGCTAATTTTCTGGAGAGAAAAACAGCATTATTTGAAACTGTGATCTGTGGCACACAACAACCGAATGCATCCAAGTAAGCCAGAGAAAATTCAGACTCCACTACTGGACAAAAACGGAGATTATAGAGAGACATTTTAGTGACGCTATAAAAAAAGATGGATACCACTCAAAACATCAGGAAAGAAATAATCTGACTTCAAATTTTGTTCATGAGTAGAGTTTGGATCGCCTAATAGTAGTATGCAGATAAACACCATATAATATTTTTTAGCTTAACAGGCGTCAATGTGTTATTTATTTTAATCGCAGGAAGTGAAGCAGATTATGATAAGTTATCTTACCAGTGAGACGTCACCGCAGTCGAAAAGAGCTTCAGATGCCCTTCAATGATACAGACGACCGAACAGATTGGGATGAAGTCTAATGAATCTTGTGATGTTTGACGTCAGTTCAGGATGTTTATGTTTTTATAAAGAGCTGCAGATCTGTCATGTGACTCCATTTGATATCTAATGTTGGCTATATGTATAGGCTTCGAAACATATTGATATCTGCCTATGATATCGCTCGCAACATGCACACAAAGAAGTAGGACTTTAACTTTATTCTGACCGGTGCCTGCCATTTTTATAGAAAAAAACAAATCTTATTGTACAACGCATTAACATTTTATACCAACTTTTACAACTCGTTGCAAAAGTCATATAACGTTACAGGAAGGTTGGTGATTGGGAACGTCAACTGAACAGGTATATAACCCCCTAGGCCTGTTTTAGAGGCTCCGTGTGTGAAAGTCGCCACTTCAGTACTGATTAAATTCTTTTTATATTCAACAATGATTATCTATCTCACTTCGCTGCGCACAGTCCCTTCGTTGAGCACAGTCCCTTCGCTTAGCACAGTGCTTTCGCTGAGCACAGCTCCTTTGCTGTTGAATTTAGTTTATTCTCTGTTGAAATAAGTCCCTTCTGGTCTCATACGCCAATTTCGCCGTCCCGTAGACTTACACGTTAAAATAGGCCACTATTTTGGCTGTCAATCCAATCAAAAAATCGTATATCAACAGATTTTTTGCTGTCTATACCAAGCACACGTATCATGTAAACGATAAAAAAATTTTTCCCCAATTCTAACCGCTAGTTCGATATTTACGTCATGTATAACTGCAATTACCCAAGACCCGGAAGAGGCCCTCTTTTGGCTCACTGTGCCCGACCGCAGTACTCAGGTCAAAATAAGCGTATACGTCCGACAATCGCTCGGACGCCGAAACTTCCCTGCCTGATCCTGTCAGTAATAAACAGGCTTTCACCTCAAATCCTTTTTAGATCAGGTCTGAGTGATGAAAGGGATTTTATGGTGGACCTAAACTCACGCTGTTCAGGCACAATCATTTTTTTGTCGGGACTCTTTTAGACCCTACACGTGCGGAGTAATTGCGGTATGAGACCTTCTCTGATGAATTCAGTTCCTTCGTTGAGCACAACTTTTGTCGCTTTGGTCCTTCGTACTTTTAAGGATCCTTCCAAACATACAGCGGGTCTGGCGTAACTTACGGTTGTATTCTCGCGCTGCGCTGAGTCGCCGGAAAAACGAGTAGTGTTGAAAATGACAATCTAGATAAGCAAATGTCAATTCTCTATATCTACAGTTTCGGCTTACATAATATCAATATCGCATTAATTTACTAGTAAATACGCCGAGACGTTCTGCGGAAGTGCAGCGCATTACTGTTTTCGCAAAGCGCTCAGAAACCGTTAATTATCTATTGTCCAAGCAGAGGTTGATGTTGGAAGATCGTTTGCTTTTTATATATGGCCCGTAGTTTTTTGTCGCTACCACCAAACTGTCGGGTTTTTTTTGTTGTTGTTCTTTTTTTTAAGGTGGCAGCGACAAAAAAAAACGGGCCATATATAAAAAGCAAACGATCTTCCACCATCAACCTCTGCTTGGAGAGTGTAATCTGGGTTTCGCGCAGGTGCAGTGCCGTTTTGCCGGCGTCCTCCCCCATCTCACCCCCAGCCTCATGTTTATTCACCCTGATTGCGGAGGAGGCGCGGCCGCCAGTCACAGGGCGTCATCTCGGCAAAGATGGCGGGCAGCAGCCACCAGCTGGAGTCAGTCTTTATCTGCACGTTGTTCCTCGCCTCGTTACTCCATCCGCCGGTGAGATGTCACGCGCACGGGGCTCACGGGAGGACGGCCGTAGATGAAAAAGGCAACAGGTTCCACGATTCTAACATCGTCCAGGATCAAGAGTAAGTCATAATATATTATATCACACCGTTTTGTTCGTATGTACGCTTGTCTACGTACTGCGGCATCTCTTCTATAGGTACGTCACGTGGGGTATTTCTTTGCGTTATTGTGGGCACAAAAACGCTCGATTTTAACATTTTATACTTTTAGCAAGCACGGTAGACCGTGTATTTATTATGTAGCACGTTCCCGCAAAATGAAACAGACCACCTCAGCAAATTTATTATGTCCATATGGTTCAATATGACATAACGCCGCGCCTCGAGGTTGCCCATACCCGCAATTATTATAGGCCACACCGCCTTAATTTTATGGATGACATCCGCACACGCATTGATTTTTGCCTGTTCTAAATAAAAAATAAAATAAAAAAAAGATCACATCCACCGATCGAGGCACCCAGGCTACCGAAGCTCCACGACTCAAGAACTCAGTATACATACGTACAGTGCCGATTCATAAATTCCGCAAAAAGCCGGCTTGTCGTATACGTTGCTATATACGGCCACAAATTCAGCTTTGAATTCCTGTGGTTTAGTAGCATTTTTATTTTTGGCCGGAATTTTTTTTTATTCGCCCGCGCGCACTAGTTTAGGGGTCTTCAGAGGATGTTATCCCTAAAATTAAGTCGGTGTGGCCTATAACCGACGTCTATTATTCTCCCTACGCGGGCGCTAATGACGATGTAATGACATACGCTCGAGCCACGGGGACCAGATTTGCGCTGTTGTTATGTTCATGAATATGTCAATTACCCCCTGGCCTTGCTTCATCATGCGGTGTTTCGTCTTCTCTATTGGTAAGGCCACACCAATTTAATTTGTTGCTTCTTGGATTTTTTTCAGAAAAAATATGAAGCGATAGGGCAAAATAAAAGAACCAGGTCAAGGCACCCCGTGATAACCGGAAATGGTACAATATGAGCTATGAGGTCAACATACCAGGCAGGTTTATAATTAAAACAATACATTTTGAACTTTAAATGAAACAAAGTTGCATTGTTACATCGAAAAACTTTAACAACTAGGAAGAAAAGGACTTTCTTCAACCGTTCGAGCCAAAATATGTCTTTTATTGTGCATTTTGCAGTTGATTTGGAACCTAATTTTTCTTTTTTTTTGCAAATCAGAAAAAAATGGACAGGCTAGGGCGAATCCGAGAAACAAATTAAATTGGCCTGGCCTAAAGGCACTTAGGATCATAGCTGAACCTGTGTGTGCAATAGACAAGTGAATTTAGTACGTAATATTTACAAAATTACATATGTACAAGGACGTGTGGGGGTGTTTTGAACTGGGCGAGGGACCCTGTCTCTGCCGTACCACGCTCAAGTTCGTTCCACCCTTTCTGTAATGAATACATAACTAGTACACACGTAGAGATATTGGCGAAGGCATAGAGGCTTGTAATGTGTGCTTTTGTAGGACGTGTTTATTCTGCGCCCTGCATGTAATGGATATAATAATATGATCCTTACTAAGTGCTTTTCTCAGAAACATTCAACATCTAATCGTATCTATATGCATGTACGTTGTTTTCAGACATATCAAGGAACACTTACAAGAACTGTACGATCTGGACAAGAAAAACATCAGCGAAATGTCTGCAGAAGAGTTAGAATTCTACTACTTCAAGTAAGATATTTTCATTTTCATCTCGAAACAACTGTATGTCCACCCCAACAAAGCCCTTTTCGTTTTTTAGCCCTACCACCCTGTCCTTGGTGCTGAATACACAACGGAATTATCCTGTGCTTTCCAGCCACAATTAGGCCATGCTGATTTGATTACATGGATTACAGAGCTCTGGGAACTAAAAAACCGATGTGAGTGTGCGAATAACAAATTTAAAAAAATGCCTCGTCTTCAAAGGTAACATTTGCAAAGCAAATGCGCATAATGTTTACCTTCGCACATGGTCTGCTCTGCTAATTCTTACTCAAACACATTCACATGTATGGTGACAGGAGTCTAAGTCCCCCCTACTATAAAATTGCAACATGATGTAACCCAACACCAGTTGCCATGATGATAGACGGCCTGGCGCAGGTCATTGACCTGGACAGAGGTCAGTGTTTGGAGAAGAAGAGGAAACTGAACAAAAACAATACGTTTTCCTTCGGTGAACATAACTATGAAATCTACGTGGCCATGGGGGCTGAACAAATGACAAAACACACACAATATGATATGGAGAATGATAGACTCTTTATTTCAATTTCTTAATAATATTTTCTTGTTTTCGTTTGGGATAGATTTTGGCATTCTACGATCTTATTGCTATCGTTTTCCAATATTTTTTTGGCTGCAATTTACGGCATATGTTTGCTCATGTTCCAGCTGCTTTGTACGATTTGCAATATTGTCGAAAACTTTTTCTTTTTTCTTGGGAGAGAAGAAAAATTCTTTTATTCCATTTCTTCACATTTTCTTGTGTTTTTTTTTTCATTTTTTTCACATTTTTTTCTTTTCAAACGTCCTTCCCAGACTGCACGACTTTAACAACGACTCCCGTCTGGACGGGTTGGAGATCCTGACGGCCCTGTCCCACATGATGCCGTACGAGGACATGCACGAGGTGAAGGCGGAGATCCAGCAGCGGCTGAAGGAGGGCAAGGCCCCGCCCAGCCCGCAGGAGATGCAGGCAGAGGCCCTGGTGTACTACACGGGTAAGCGATAATCTTCCCTGAAATCCAGAACTCGTTTTCCGGGCCGCAAGAGCCCTTCGCCCGCTGGTGAAAAATACCGCTACGGGGGAGTGTAGCCTGGGGGGAGTTGGGCTGGCCCTACATCGAAAAGGTAAAAGGCCGGACAAACCCCTCGGGCTCAACTCCCCCGTAGCGCTAATTTAGGCAGGCGGGCAAAGGGCTCTCGGCTGCCGAAGGAAAACGGCTAACGACCCGATACTAGTTTTGGCATCCAGGGTAGCGATAACCTGGTATCCAGTCTATCGTGGTGTGAGCGTCTCTTCCCATGAATTAGAGCCATATTGTAGTAAGCCTTAGAATCTGTTGTGGCCGGGTTTGTACGTCAAACCAGTACAAACATTGTGTGATATACTTATCGAAGTCATTTTGGAAATATGTGAACACAAAAACCAAAACAAGAGAATGTATACCAGATCTAGTGGATGACACACATGAAGATCACACATTCGTAGCAACAAATGACGATGAAAAAGCTGAAGTCCTCAACAAATTTTTCGTCAGCACATTTACCAAGGAGAATACCCAGTCAATCCCTGAGCCGACACAGAGAATGTATGAGAAAGACCTCAACAACATAAACATCAGTGTGGAAGATGTATGCCGAAGGCTGAAAAACCTGAACCCGAACAAGTCACCGGGGCCAGACAACATCCACCCACGGGTATTAAAGGAAATGGCGGAGGTTCTAGCAACACCACTTCAGATAATATTCACAAAATCATTGGAAGAAGGAAAACTCCCGAGGGAGTGGAAGATTGGTCATATAACTCCCATCTTCAAAAAAGGAAGCAAGAAATCTCCCAGCAACTATCGCCCCGTAAGTCTTACTTCAGTAACAGGAAAAGTCCTGGAGGGAATTGTGAGGGATCGAATTGTGGACCATATGAAAAGCAATGAGCTGTTTACAAAACACCAGCATGGATTCTTACCAGGAAGGTCGACAGTGACTCAGATACTCGAATGTCTGGAAGACTGGACAGAATCTCTAGATGGGGGAGAACCAACAGATGTGATCTATTTAGACTTTCGAAAGGCATTCGATTCCGTGCCAATACAACGACTCCTGACAAAAATCGCAAGCTACGGTATAAAAGGGAAACTGCTACAATGGATTGCCTCATTCTTGTCAGACCGCAAGCAGAGAGTATGCGTTAATGGAGCGCTGTCAAGTTGGGCTGAGGTAACAAGCGGAGTACCGCAGGGAAGTGTCTTAGGACCTGTGCTTTTTACAGTCTTTGTAAACGACATGCCTGAAGCAGTAACAAGCCAGCTGAAGCTATTCGCAGATGACACAAAGATGTACTGCCCTGTGACCCAAGAAAAACACTGTGAAGAGCTCCAAGCGAACCTCTACAAACTAGAAGAATGGTCAACTAAATGGCAGCTGTGTTTTCATCCGGACAAATGTACAGTGCTAAGGATTGGGTCAGGACATCCACCATATACATACACAATGAAGGGCAAATCTGGTCTGATACCATTAAAATTTACTACGGAAGAGAAAGACCTTGGGATCATAGTTGACCGGGACTTGAGTTTTGAAAAACATATTGCAAAAATGACAGCAAAGGCCAACCAGCTCACAGGTCTTCTATGGCGGACCTTTGAGTACATCGACACAGAGGTCTTCTTACTACTCTACAAATCACTGATTCGACCACACCTTGAATACGGTGCACCTGTTTGGTCCCCACACCAATGGAAGCAGGCCGACCAAATAGAAAACGTACAAAGAAGGGCAAGTAAAAGGGTGCCTGGTCTAAACAATCTACCATATGAGGAGAGACTTAAGGTGCTTAGGCTCCCGACACTGGTATATAGAAGAATACGTGGGGACATGATCATGACCTACAAGTACATTCATGGGAAGCTGGACACAGAGGGTTGCCTACCAAAAATGCAAGAAAAAACAAGAACAAGAGGGAACAGCTTACGACTAAACAAAAGATCAGTGAAGAACAACAAAAGACTGTTTTTCTACAGCAACAGGGTAGTAACATGGTGGAACAGTCTACCGGAAGAGGTGGTGTCAGCCCCAAGTGTGAACAGTTTTAAAAATAGACTGGACAAACACATGAGAAGTCATCCAGTGGTGTACAACCCCCGGGCATTGGACAACCCCCACAAGATGACCATGTCTACGCAGTAAACTACAAGGAGCGGCTCAAAGTGGAAGAGAACTTCCTACCGAGACGAAAGATCTACTCTACTCTACTCATTATGTTTACCGAAGGAAAACATATTGTCTTTGCTCAGTTTCCTCTTTTTCTCCAAACCAATAAGGACAATGACCTGAACCAGACGTGTGTTACCGTGGTAACTAGTGTTAGGTTACATCACGTTGCAGTTTTATAGTAGGAGGGATTTAGACTCCTGTCACCATATATATAATGTGTTTGAGTAAGAATTAACAGACCAGACCGTATGCGAAAGTAAACATTATGCACTTGCTTTGCAAATGTTTCCTTTCTAGTTTCAATAGAAATATCACATGTTTGTAACCGGAATAGATTAGCTATTACACCACAAATGACCACAAAACTAAGTAGTCTGTTAATCTATTTTGCCCTAGAACTGATTGACCAAGTGCTGCAAGACGACGACTTTAACAATGACGGGTACCTGACGTACTTGGAGTATGTGCTGGCGCGGAGGCGGGACGAGGAAAAGTACGCCAGGCAAAAGTCAGAACATTAGGGGGCGCATGGGGACAACACTGCAAATCAACCAAGACAATATGAAACAGGTTTAAACTGCAATTTTCAACACAAGAAATTGGACATTCCCAAATTTTCGACTGTACAACTCGTTTTTTTAATGAGCAATCCACTGCTTCCATGACGTCACGCAGATGACACACGTGACTCCGTGAGCAGTGGATCATAGGTCGCAGGAAGTCTGTGGCGCCTCCCGTCTCTGTTGCGGGATGGTTGGGTTTGGTGGGAAAAAAAAATTCAGTGCAAAAGAGAAACCCCGATAAAAAAGCCTAAAAACACGCTAAAAATACCCCCAAAACCCAAACCTCTGCTTGGAGAGTAGGATGGTTGCAATGCCCTAACCCCTCGTGCAAAAAATCTGCAACCTATGATCCACTGCTCACGGAGTCACGTGTGTTATCTGCGTGACGTCACGGAAGCGGTGGATTGCTCATTCCTTGACAAAGACTGGAGTTGTACAGTCGAAAATTTGTCCAGTTCAATCTTGTTTCATAATGACTTCAACCAACACAGATGTAACTTCAAGATAAAATCAACCAGGACCACTGACAATAAACATAACAAACTAGTTATTTGTTTGTTTTATAGTTAAATTTATGTCTTAATTTGTGTAAGAATTACATATCAGTGGCGTAATGTGCAATACAATAGTTCGCATGTATACCAGGTTGGTAGCTTTGTCGTAGTTTGAGGGATACACAAAATCATATCTGTAACTTGTACTGATCGGTTGTGAATGAAATAAGCCTTGAATCCTCTTACAATTACATGTGCCTCAAAGAAGCCAAACATATTCACGACAAAGGGATCTCTAAGATGGATATTTTTTTACAAAGATGGGAAGAAGTTTTTGAATGTACATCATGTTTGTGGGTAAAATGTATATTTTGTGCAGATATCAGCTACAAACCAGGCAATGTAGTGTTGTAATTCTAAATGCAATTTCAGGGCAGCAAAACTGGATTTTCAAAGTCAATTTTATGGCCATTATTTTAATGTAGTAAGTTAAATCCACCCTATTCCATAGTATACTGATATCTGTGAGGAAAACATGCGATGTCGCTGACGGAAAACGGTTGCTTGTTTTGTATCATAGGCTGGTTATAGCTGTTTATAGGTGGTACCCAAAAACTCCTCACGGGCTATTTCAAATGCTTCAAATACGAAATTCCTCATCTTTTTGGTTTTGTCTTGTCGCCCTTAAATTGCTTTGGATACCTTTAAAACTGAGAGGCTTAGATAGAGGTAGATAACATTTTGTTAGATGTAGTAGTGAAAAATTGATGACCAAACACAGTACAATTTTTGTTATCAGGTGAATTTCTGCCTTCTTTTGGTTTTGGTGAATTTTTGACAAAGTGCGGTATCCTAAAATATCATGTTTTGTAGTACATGTATATCAGTCAATGATATAAGTAGAGAAAACTAAGATCATATTTTCGGATTCTAGATTTCAAAAATTGGCCTTTATATGTGATGTTACCAAAGTCAAGATATGGGCACTAATGTCATTCTACATAACATGAAAATCAACATGAAGAGTACTGTAACAGTCACACTATCCTGTTTGTTTCATTGGAGACAGACCACATAATTGTGTATTAGGCCACACCAAGTAAATTTTATGGATGACGTCCTTTGGAGACCCTAAATCTAATGCGAGAGGGCGAAAAAAAAACAAGAAGGGCCCTAAAAAACAAGATGCCTAGATTAGAAATGTACTAAGAGACGACAAATGTTAGGACACAAATTGAATGAGGTGACACAGTGTAACAAGCAAGAAGTCTTTTATTCATCATCAAAACAGCAATAAATCAGGTGGAACAGTGGACAGTGAAAAATTTTCTGTTCTGTTCCGACACCTCGCGTTACGGGTTTCACGTCAATCTGACGATTTGCGACACTGCCGTGACTTTGGTCATAGTTACAGGAAGCAAAATTTCTTGTTTTTTTTTCTAGGAAGAGGCCAAAATCAATGAGCGCGCGGACGTCATCCATAAAATTTACTTGGTGTGGCCTTAGTTACTAAGGCCACACCGACTTAATTTTATGGATGACATCCGCGCGCGCATTGGTTTTGCCTGTCGCCCTCAAAAAAAAAAAGAGAACCTCCACCGAGGCTCTGGCCTAGTCTTAGGCCTGGCTCAGGCCTGGCTAATCCATGGTAGTCAGCGACAAAACGGAGACGAGTACCCAGGCTATCGAATTCGGAGCTCCACGACTCAAGAACTCCGTACATAAGTACAGTACCGATTCATAAATGCCGCAAAAAGCCAGCATGTGCCAGCTTGCCGTATACATCGCTAAGTACTGTCGCAAATTCACAATACCAACTATGTATTCCTGTGGTTTAGTAGCATTTTTATTTCTGGCCGGAATTTTTTTTTATTCGCCCGCACGCACTAGTTTGGGGGTCTTCAGAGGATGTCATCCATAAAATTAAATCGGTGTGGCCTAAGTAGGTTTGCATTCTTTTTTCAATTGTTGCAAAATAAAATGTTACCAAGTTTCAGAAGTTTGTCCTCTATCTTGTTTGTTGGAGACCAAGACAGTTGTTCCTAGAAATCTTGAAACATTCATCTTTGTATGAGCTTTTGTAGATCTTGATAAATCATACAACCACCCTAGCTGCAGGTATATGATATCATGTTTGTTACATATAGCTTTGGCAATACGTGTATTTCGGTTGCTGCAGAAATTTCCCTATAATAGATTGAACACAAGGTTAACATTTTCCATACTTTGAGTAGCATGTTGGCAGAATATACTGCACCTGTGCAAAACCATGGTGTTGTTTCGCCTTCACCAGGCCTTTCTACGGGAATACGGATCGTAGAATTCGGCAAAAAAGAGTGTAGAATTGGCCAAGGGAGTCCGGCCGCTTGGAGGTAGTTTCTTTCCCTCTGTGCGGCCAGTCAAACCTACAAGGCGGGCAAACTCCCCTGGCAAATATTCTCGTATATATAGCCAGCGTAGTTAGTCTGGTAGAGACTAAGTGTTGTTCAGTTTGGGAGGTAAAGGGCAGTAGAAGGAGAGGGATGGGCTCTGCCTTCCAATACCTTACTCATTGACCCTAGGGCCTCAAAAAGGCCATGGGACTAGCTTTACTTTTACCCTACATAAACTGGATGGTAAAATGAAATGGACAGCAAAAAAACACAGCAGGTTCAGTGTTTTAAGTACATGTGTATTCACAGAAGACTTTTGTTTGGAGGTACTTGTACGCCCCCGGTAAGTGTATGTTTTTGTCACCCAAAGGCACAGGAAGGGTTAAAAGGACAAGTGCACTGCGCATTTTACTTTCTTTTCTCAACACTACCCAAAAAACTGCATCAAAAGCATGTGTTGTTGTATTGTTGCAGCAACAATCCAATATATTGTTAATTACATGGTTTTACCCTTCCAAGAAGGAGATTTCTTGTAAAGCATTATATAATTGTAGTTAAAGCTACAACCCAAATGAAATACCTGTACATGTACTGCCATGGAAATTGAGATCATGGCAAAACATTTAGAACATGAGCATATATCAATATCAGAAAGAAAAAAAAAAATCGTTAAAATTTTAACATAAAAAGATACAGCCATAACAAATCAAACTACAACTGTGGCAGTGGATTTCATGAACACAAAATCTACAGTCATCCACCGCTATGCCCTTCATCTAGCACAGACAGTCACTAAAATTTCTGCAACAATTCATCCTAAATACATGTAGCACACTAGAAAGAAACACAACATTGGGGCACAGATACGTTTTACATGAAACAATAACACTACAAGGGTATTACTAGAATTGCAAGGTACGTCATAAAAGTTGAAAATAATTAATGAAGTGATACGTGGTCCATAATATTATCTCTTTTAACTACATGTAACTTGTTTGAAGTTGAAATGTTGGGACAATGTCAATATTAGGACATACTATTTATTAAGTATTGAGAAAAGTAGTATTTTATTTGGCACTAAGAACACAAACACTATGCAGTTCATTACAAAATTTGTTCTACTTGACTAGCTTTGGAACCTAGCTTGCAGTCATTCGATACAATTCTCAACAATGATTAGGTATATTAAATAAATAGTTCAGCAAGAAAACGCATGCCAAAAATGACAGAGTTTAAGTACATGTATGTGTGTTTGACCTCTGACATCCTGATGCTACTTTATTTCAGAGAAAGGTTAAAAGTTCAGTTGTCAACAGAGACTGGTTCTTGGGCAATGATGATCCCCTTCTCAAACATCAACATGGCCAGGTCAACCTGGAAGTTCATGAAATCAAAAATTAGAAGATCTCATACTTCTATGAACTATTCAAAGTTGTAGAAGATATCTCATTTTATTCATTGTTGTGAAAAAGTGGCCTGAGTACTGGTAAAATTTTTTGCTGATTGTCTCTACGCACTTTCCCACTGGATCCCATAAGCCAAAAGATATGCACATAGCAGGAAATTGAAGTAGGAAATTAGACAACCTTCTCTGGGACCTTTGACCTAATTTCCTTTCAGTGTCCCAGTTGTGGCTAGCATGTGGAAATAACTACTTCACATCCAAACAGACACACAGAAAACAAGACCCGTTTATCAAAAATTGTACTGTCATATGAATCTGCATTTAGCTTGTTTTGAGGTACACACACATTTGAGGTACACACACATTTGAGGTACACACACATTTGAGGTACACACACATTTGAGGTACGCACACATTTGAGGTACGCACACATTTGAGGTACTCACACATTTGAGGTACACACACATTTGAGGTACACACACATTTGGGGTACGCACACATTTGAGGTACGCACACATTTGAGGTACGCACACATTTGAGGTACGCACACATTTGAGGTACGCACACATTTGAGGTACGCACACATTTGTAGATACAAGCGTGAATTTTACCTTGTCCTGTTGAAGGTCCAAAGGAAAGCTGTCAATAGTGACATATGCAGGGTAGGAGTGCATCAAGTACTCCACAGCTGGGGCAGCCTGTGGGGACAATACAGCAGTCTGTTATTAACTACATTAGGCCACACTGACTTAATTTCATGGATGACATCCTGTGAAGACAGTGATTGTTTATGTACTGTGTATTTGTTGTGTATATTTTTATGTGTATCCAGGATTACCTGAAAAGCAGGCCAAAATGGCCTGTCATGAGCTGTAATTACTGGTTAAATAAATAAATTGAATTGAATTGAAGACCCCCTAAACTAGTGCATGCAGTCGAAATTGTTATAGTAAAGTAGTTTGCCTCGACTGCTGGACGATGTTATTGTTTGACATAAATTGTGCCATGTGCCACCCTGCCTACATACATTCACCACAGAACTGAAGATGCTCACAGCATTTAACATTAAAACATCTTGACTTGGATGGAAACAATTTATGTCTCAGTCAGGCGACCCTCTTCAAGGAGACCACCTGTCCAAGGTGACCACTTTTCTTTGGTCCCCTTGGTGGTCACCTTGGGCAGGTTTGACTGTAGTTCTAGTAAAAGACATGCCATGTCCTTCATTCCAAGATCTTTAAGACTGCTCTATGCTATTGACAACTAGCTCTCTATAGTTGTATTTAGGGGCTAATTTACTCCATTGACCACTGTGCGTACATCACATCTCGTACTTGTAATACTAGCACTGAGTTTGTGTGAGCTGACCTGTAACACATGCTCATACATATACGTGTCTGCTTCTCCCACCAGAAACATTTTGTAAATAGGTTACCTGATATCCCTTTTTATCTTATTCTTGATATGACTTTTAGAATTGTATTTTAGCATGTATTATGAATTTTATACTTGGATTTTAAAGGCAGATTTGTAAGCAATGACGCAATTCAGGTGTTGATTTTATATTGTACCTGCTATGTCATTGGTAATAAAATCTGAATCTGAATCATTCTTGAAGATTGTCGTCAGACATGGACCTCAGGCAGACTTACATCCGGCGGTATCTCGATGGGCTGTAGCTCCGCCCCGTGGTAGACTCTGGCATTCTCCAGGACATGGTACAGGAACACCTGCTCACCCTCCATTACAAGTCTGAGGAGGGCAGGAATGTCATGTTTAGCTAACAGGGCTCCAAATCCTTTTCCTTCAAAACCTGCACTGGTGCAGAATTAGCTGCACCAGGCAAATTTTACCTGCACAATTTAGGGAGTATGGATTGTGGTAAGAACTGTTCAGAAACTATTGCCATTATTTCTTTTATACTTCATACATATAGGCGGTGACAGTCAATGCAGCAAATAAAAAAAAAACACAATATTGATGGACAAAAATCAGCGTGTAAAGATATGAAAAAGAGATATCAAGTTACAACTAAGCTTAGTCAACCAGCAAAACTGTCCCTCAAAAATGGTCAAGATTTTGAAAACATTGCAGTGTTCTTGCTTTCGGCACTAGAGATGATGTTACGTCAAACAAAATTGAAATGACAGGAAAACACTGGTTTACGGTATCACAAGAACTGTGAAGACAAGATGGAGTACAGATTGAGAAGTATGAGAAGTGTACAGACCTAGCCGCTCCCTTCCTGACGAGTTTGACAGATGTGCTAGTCTTGAGGTCCACAGACCCGACCACCCTGCCCCTCTCCAGCCTGGTTCTGCACCCATAGATACTGCAGGCCCTCTCCTCTACAGGGGTGTAAAGAGGGGATTAACAGTTTACCAATTCATGTCAACGTGAAGCATATAAAACAGCCCCTTCATTCTTTGGTACCACCAATAAATAGCTGGTACCAGCCTACAAGACATCACATTTTACCTCATAGACACATGTACATGTATCAGTATGCTATGGGATACATGTAGGGTTGATTCATTTTTAAAAATTACCAGAAAATTGACTTTGAAAATCCAGTTTTACTGTGCTAAAATTGCTTTGAGTGCCTTTAAAGAAAACCAAAAGGTAAAGGTGTAAAAGCAACCTATACTATGTTAAATACATGTAAACCCAAAAGTCAAGCTCTCGACTGTAATACAGCAGTCCATCATACTGTAATTCCTAATATTGTCACAGTTCAGTTGTTTTCATCGTCACTTCTGTACTGTGAACTTATCACTACCGTTATCAAATTATTAATGTAACCCATGTAACCAGCACATTGGCAGAACATACTGTGCCTATAGATGCAAAACCCATAACGTATTGGACATAGCACTTCGTCAGAATGTCTTGTTCAAGGTCGTATTCACATATTTAAGGAAGACATCCCATCTATTGTTTTAAAATGTTGTGTTGGAAAAGACAGGCAAAGTTTTAATGCAACCAAACATCCAGTGAAAACCATGAAAAGTTTGTGTTTCCCAAAGGCACAGTACGTTCTGTCAACGTTAACCTACTCCTAGTGAAGACAGGTGGGAGGCAGTCATGCATAAACTCCACAGCCTTCTGGTCCACTCCTGCGTCCACAGGAACATAGTTGACCAACCGGGCCAGCAGAGACTGGACAGTCCCCAGGAACGCTTTTCTTCTCGGGTCATCCTGTAGGGAGAATCGTACATACATATAGAATACAACACGGTACGGTACCGCAAAGTACGGTCCGGTCTGGAAGCCATTATCGGTATGATATAAAGGCATTTTTTACCTCCGTGTTCAAAGGTTTTGTTTTTTGTGTGCCTGTTTGTGTGTTTGCATGTGTTTCCATATACTTACCAGTTATTTCCACATGCCAGGTATATGTATCATGACAGGGGCACTGACAGGAAGGTACATGTAGGTCAAAGGTCCCAGAAATATTCCAGAAATGGTTACCTCATTTCCTATCTATCCTATCAATTTCCTGTTATGTATATTATGCATGTCTGTTGCTTTATCAAAGTTTATGGAATCCAGCATGAAAATGCATTTCACAGACTGTAGCATTTGCAAGAAATTCACAATAATGGAAAACAGAAATTCGCAAAATATTAATATTTCACAGAGGTGTAGGAGGTTTAAGTTTCTTATCCTAGTTTAGTACTAAGTACCCCCCCCCAAAAAAAAAACATAAGACAGGTGTAGTTTGACAAACTGCACTTTGGCTCTGTCTTGCGCGTTTGTCTAATGTGGCAACTGCAAATACGGTTGCAATCGAATATTAGGAAAAGAAGCTACCGAGATGTCCCGTTACATTCATCAAATATTATTAAATTGATGTATTTCTAAGCTCATAACTAATAAAACAATCATTAAAACTGCAACATTTCAGAGAGGACTACAGCAGACGCAGTGGTACAGTACACAAAGGAGTTGGACAGCGTGGACAGATTTTATAACAATTGAATAAAGTATATGGAGAATATGAGTTGATAGTCGCTACCTAACTGTAACCCAGTTACATTTTAACAGCTCCCAGATTACAGACAGTGGAAAACAACTAGGGGATTAAATCACCTCGGGGGCAGGGGGGGGGATCTTTGGTTAAACTAAGGTCTGCCATGAAGTGTTAACAGTACGCTTTATTATACTGGCCGAGTCATTTGTGGCATCGAGTCTCTTGAAATCTGATGAACTTGAGTCAAGAATTGTGAATAGCTTGTTCGACAAAACATCATCATATCTAGAGCATCCTATGACACAGTGAAATTCATCTTCAATTTGCTTCGGACGGACAAAATAGACAAAACCTTTGACCAGGTGCCATGTGCTTTCTGCATGCACAAGTGACCATCCAGCCATGCGTCACGCCCAACCCGTGTCTTTGTGTTGACAAGTTTTTTAGGTCAAGTAGAAATACACAGAAGTTCCAAACGTCGTGTGGTGTGTTTGCAATTTTCAACGGAAAATCTACTCTGCGGGCTGAAAACTTAAACTTACAGCAGGCTGTTTTAGCCCCCACCCCCTCCCAGGACTTTTCATCCTGTATTGCAGGCCCCAGATTTGTGCTTTACTGGCAAAGTAACACAAGACTGTCTTGATCACAAAAGGCTGGGTGTACAGTTTCCATGTCTTTGTCTGCAAATCCTCTTTTCCACGAACGCATGACTCACTCACTCACTGTCCGGTTTATGTCAGTCTAACAGATCGAGAAGTTTACCAAAGCGTAAAGCCGAAATCCTGTGTTCTCCTAAAAGTTTGAAAGAAACCTGCACTGTCATACTTGCACCTGCCATTTCTATCAGTGAAAAATGTATATTTAGTCAGTTTGGATGGCTAACATGATTTGGCAAAGGTATGTCAGACCTGCATACCTTGTACATGCCAAATGATACGGATTTCACCAGTGTGTTGCATGTTACTAGGTAGGGGCTATGTGAATCATTTGTATGAAAATTTTGCTATTGAGCAGGATTGTAAATGCAAGCCATTACAGGTGGTCATCACCATGCATAATATTTACAAAAGCACTAAAGATGTTATGGAGGTAAGAGATCACCAAACTCTAGTTCAATATGAAAACTTATTCTTTTCCGTAACATATCTTAATTAAATCTCATTGATACAACCTAAAACATCTGGGTTCAAAATTAGATATGAAGCATATCTAATACACAACAGATCTTTCATCTGTCAGTCTGTAACACAAACACACACAGTCCTGTCTCTGGGACACATCAGTGTACAAAATACTTTTTTGAGGCAACCGATGGCAAAAATTAGGTTTCCCATCAGAATTTTAGGTTGCTCCACCTATAAGTCACTACTTTCCTCACATACATAAGCCTTTGACAATATTTCTAACAGCCTTTAGTTAACTGATACTAGTAACAGCAATTAATTTGGGGGAGGGGGGCATTCTTAAAATTCAGGTAGCACACGGGGCTACCTAGCTTTAAAAATAGGTTGGCCCAAGTAAAATTTGATTGCCCGGGGCAACTGGGCAACCAGGTATTTTGCATGCTGCACATGCATGGGGAACCAACAATTTCCCTATTTAGGTCACAAATAAGCATATAATATATAGCGTAACTATACAGGTCAGTGGTCGAAATACTTTTTTTCAGTGCTCTGCAATGTTGCAGAAGAGTCAAAATTTTGTTCTGCAATTTGAAAATACTTTCTGCAAGTACACAAGCCTCCATACTACAACCTTCTCAAACCATTAATGTCTTTTTTACATCATATGTAGCTTTGTAAATCTGTAGCATTACTGGAATTATTTTAAGTTTAATCTATCACTCTTTTTAATTTCAGACTTCATAGATCCTTCTCCACAGAAAATTTATCATTTACTGGTATCTTAACGGGTCTTTCACCGCTGTCTCCCACTACAAGCTACTACAACTAAAATCATACCTTACCTGTAAATGTACTAGTAATCACACCCACATATCATCCTTCCACACAACATACTTAAGACACACCAAAAAAACAGTACTTAACTCTTAAGCAACTCGATATGATTTTGGTGCTACCTGATATGCTCAGACTACTACCTTTCATCAGAAAGAAAACTAAGAAAATTGCAGGTTTATAAGCACAAACTATTGATTCATATGCAAATTATTTAAGACAAATTTTTGGAAGTCCATAGGGAAACAAAAGATAGACAAGTCAAGACAAGGTTGATGCAAATTAGTGAAGAAGCTCCTGTTGTTTCAAAACAGGAGTTTATGTGTTGTCTGTCCTTGGGGCCAGAGAGTTCTAGTTTGCTAAATTGAAAACAATTGAATCTGGAGCCTATTTTTCCTTCTGCAAAATTGCAGATTGTATAAATTTTTCATCTGCAATCTTGAAAATCTATCTGCAGATTGCAGACTGCAGACAGGTATTTCGAACACTGCCAGGTACAGTACCAGTACTGAGGGATTAGGTATTCAGGACCTGTACCTAGTCAATTTTTCGGTACAGTATCGGTACTGTGTACTGGTACACAGCCCTAATCATCATGGTACCAGAACCTAGACGTACACAACTAATGTCGACAGACCAGGAGGTGGTTACAACTCACCAGGTCTGCATTAGCCAGCCCCATGTAGTCCAGGTAGTCCCGAGGCAGGGCCTGTCTGAACTCTACATCCTCACTGAAGGCCATCGTCAGTGCAGCTGGCACAAGCTGGGCGGAAAACAGGACATTAAAGTTTCAGAACAGACATGCAGGAATACGTAGCAACACATTAGACAATATGCAGGATTCCAAATACTGGGTGCAAGTGCACGTTAGTGCACCCAAAGTTGGAGCTGTGCACTCAATTTTTTTTCTTTGGGAGTGCACTGCAAAGATGTCAAATGAATTCATGTAGTAGCATATTCTTTACATCCAAGTGTCAGAATATAATAAAATCATTGTTGTAGTGCTTTTCTTTAGAAATGAAACATAAATAGTTATTGCTGACATGATAGTTGCTCTATTTTATCTGGTGCACCCCATCCCCCCCCAAAAAATTGTGCACCCAATTTTTGAGGTTGGTGAGCAGCCCTTCTAACTACATTGTATGACCTGCCACTTGCTACATGATGTCACAGATGTTACAAATGTACCACTGTAATACAAAATTCTGGAATTGCCGTGAATCCCAAGGAGAAATTGTGAATTTCCAGTACCTTTTCCATGAGGTCTCCCCAGGTGTTCCTCTGACAGGTAGAGACAGTGATGTGTAGAGAGTGTGTGTCTGGTAAGGCGGAGGCCTGGTGGATAGTACCCCGGGGGAAGTACAACAGATCCCCCGGCTCCAGGGTCACATCCAGGATGGCCTCTCCTATCTCCTCCTGCCTGAAGTTATCTGTGCAGCAACAACAAGAAATCAAAGATTTCGAATCCCTAGGAAATACTTTTTGAATGTGTACGTTTCACAGGTTTTCATGAAGAAAAAAGATACTGTATCCAAACTAGAAAGGTAACATTTGCAAAGCAAGTGCATAATGTTAACCTTCACCTGGTCTAGAATTAAAAATTACAGCTCTGTTTATTGTTACTCAAACATATTCATATACAATACATGGTTAGGAGTACCTCCAACTCTGTCCTGATATTACAAAATGTATCCCGACACCACAGGGTGCTACAGCACCAGTTACCATGGTGACAGACGTCTGGTCCAGGTCATTGACTTTTATGTGTTTGGAGAAGAAGGAGAGGAAGAAACAGAGCAAAACAATATTGTTTTCCTTCTGCAAAAGTAAACATAAAAAGAGGATTCAAACTACAAACTGTAACTAGATGGACCTTGCACCAGTTGAAGAAGACTTTCGCAACTACATCTACATGTACCAAGTACCAACCTCTGATGATAAAACATGTAAGGCCACAGCAAGTAAATTTTATGGATGACATCCTCTGCAGACTCCAAATCTAATGCGAGTGGGTGAAAAAAAACAAGGCGGGCCAAAAAAAACAAGGTTCCTACATTATAAAATTTTGACTCAATCATTGTACGAATGGCTTTTATTTGGTGGGAACATCACATATACACAGCTGTCATCACATATCATTACATCAAAGTAAGAAACAAAACATTAAATCAGAGCCTTTTCTTGTCTACTCTCGTCATAGTTATCTGCCATCCACCTTCCGGCATGGCAACAGACATCTTTGCCCATTTTCGGCATGTTGACCACTGTCAAAAGGCAACAAAATTTCTTGTTTTTTTTTTCCGGAAATCAGGCGAAAATTAATGTGCGCGCCGATGTCATCCATAAAAATTACTTGCGGTGGCCTAACCCAAACAAACAACACAAACACATCTTCTCAACACCTACCACTGGAAAATCTTGGCAGCTTTTCGGCATCATTCCTGTGTTTAAAGAAAGCAGCAATTTTGATATTTTATACAGATATTTTTCAACATAAAAATTTGTATACTGCCAGGCTAGGGAATGACATAACAAAACTGTAGGGATTGTATGCATGTATAATTATTATTATACATTGTATAATAATTAATCACTTAGTGACAAGCTAGGGGGCCCAAACACGTCACTTTTTCCTGAGCCCAATAGTTATATTCCACCCGAAATTTGTGACTGCATTATGTCCAAAACATAAGTTAACAACTGCAGTACCATAGCAAGACACTAGGTTTCCCAAAATCTACTAGTAATCATTACGAGGTCTCATCAAGACCAACCCTCATATTGACATAACAACTATCAAGACAAAACGTCTAAACCCTCTTAAGTTATCATATTTACAGACAGACACACAGAAACACACAAACAAACGCTACTGAAAACATAACCTTCTTGGTGAAGGTAAGATGACAGTATGACATACGTACCTGGGGCTGTAGAGTTTCCAGTGTTTCTTACCCTCCAACTGCAGCACAAAAGCTTCAATGTCATCATAGTGAGGAGCAAAACCCTGGGTGCCTGGTGGAGTCAGGTAACTGTAGGGATAAAACACAGTTTAATCACAGATGACACAAAAAGATTTTTAAACAGACAGACAAAACAGTCTAGAAAAGAATGTTTTGTTTCAGTTTTCTGACCTTGGCAGAAACCAACCAATTTTTAACCCTAGCCTTTCTTTTTTTGTTGACTTCTGACATCTGAATTATAAACTCTCTGAGACACATTTTCACAAGCAAAATTTGGTAAATCTAGAGAAATACATGTATTTCACCTTTCTCCACATGCAAATGTAGAGACAGCCTTGATGCTGATATATTTCTTGGTGGATCACTTCTGAATCAGCTGATATTTAAAAAGAAAGTCCCTTCCAATCGACCCTATTTTTTCAGGTATGAAGTCAGAAACACGTACAACGGTCCTAGCACTTCGTTAGGTTTGACATGGTTCAACAATGGTCTCCGAAACATTAAACTGACCAACTGTGAGTGGTAATAATGACAGGAAGGCAGACTTACATGTTAGCACCAACCATACTGCTGAAGTACTCCTGTAGGGAGGAACACAGTCTCCACACACCCTGGGAGTAGGTCTGAGGGTTCAACAGCCTCACAGAGCACCCATTCTACAACAACAAGACATGTCACACATGCTTAGTACATGGCAAATGTGCTATAACCAACAAGGCAAACAAGGTTATTGCCCAAGTATATGGAAAGTTCTTGAGTAACATTGAAACAATGTAACAATAATGAAATGTGCCAAACTGTGGTGTCCATGACACACAAAAAAATGCAACATCAATTCCAACGTCCGAATCTGGTATTCACATTTTTGAAAGCTGCGAACATGGCTCAGGTAAAATGCGTACGAATTCTATGGAACGCCTGTATCAAACGTTAGGCCTAGGAAAAAACATGTTGTGTTTCCTGTTTCAGTCCTGAAAAAAATAGGGTCGGTAGGTACATGTAGGGATTATCTTTTTTTTTCTTTTCTTTTTTTTTAGACATTGGCAATCTCTAGTGATCCAACTTATACAATACAGTTTAAGAAAGTAAAACTTGCATGAGGACACTTATATTTTCAATGTCAATGTTGGAAAACCAACTGTACAACGTTTTATCACTCAGTTGTCAGATTATGGAGCTAGAAAAGGTCGATCAGCTCCAAAATATTATGTTCCTTGCAGAGGTCCACCCAAGAAAAGGCTAGGGTTGGCAGTTTTTTCTGGAGTCGGTCGGGAAACAGGATACACAATATTTTTTTCCTAGACCATATCGAGGTCCAGGTATGACATAAAGTACATTACAGGATTTGCGCAGGTGCAGTACTTTATGCTGACATGCTCACTGAACTACATGTATATTGTCTAAGGCCACACCGACTTATATTTATGGATGACATCCGCGCACGCATTGATTTTCGCCTGAAAAAGAAGAACGTCCTCAGTGGCTCTGGCCTGGCTCTAGACCTCAGGTAGTCCATGGTAGTTAGCGACAATGCAGAGCCGGTGGTAACTCTGGAGGACGGCACCCAGGCTGCCAATGCTCCATGACTCAGTTTACCAGCTTTGTATTCCTGCGGTCTAGTAGCATTTTAATTTTTGGACGAATTTTTTTTATTCGTCCCGCGCGCACTAGTTTGGGGGTCTTCAGAGGATGCCATACATAAAATAAAGTCGGTGTCACCTAAGGTTTGATATGGAAAAGAGAAGTCACTTACATGCCCATAACAGTATGAGTAAAGTCTTACCTGGTAGTAGTCCCACACGACTGCTGGGTAAGCTCGCCCCGGGGGATTGTGGGTCTCCCTCTGCCCACCCTCGTACGTGGTAACATCCAGGTTCCTCCCAAACTGTATGTCGTTCTGAAATTAGGCAGTTTTGCGGTTAGAGTTGTTCACTTGGAGGTTCTGGGTTCGAATCCTAATATCAGTCCCCGATGTTGTGCCCTTGGGTAAATTTTCATCTAACCGGTATTTTCTCATGCTGTAAAATTTCTCACCAGTGTTTTGTCTTCCAGATTCTGTATTTAAGGTGAGTCACTTTGACTCTTTTGATCTTAATGACGTCTTAGTACATGTATGTAAGAAGTAAGTAGTAGTGCCGTAGTACAGGGCTTGAAATTAAAGGTGGTCAAACGGCAACTGACCACTAGAATTTAGGCTGGGACAACTAAAAAGACACTTTGGGACATTTTTGGGACAACAGATAAATAATCAAATCAGAATGTCAGCCCTTCTTTTGTTTATCAGGCACATGTACATGTGCCGGCTTTTAGCTCTGGAAAATTCTCCCCTGAATTTCCTGTCTACTCTGCAATTACATGACATTGTATAGTGCATCTGGGAATGAACATAAGCAAACTAAAGTTGACTTCAAGTTGAAGTCATACAGTCCTTCCTAAAAACAGGTTGGGACAGTTCATCCTCATTTTGGGACAATGGTAAATTATTTTAGGACAGTGCTGGGACGATGGGAAGAAAAGTTAATTTCCAGGCCTGGTAGACTGGTAGTACTGTACTTACTTCATGTAAAATCTTGGTCAGGTCTTCTGTGCTGAACCAGCCATCGTTGTAAGACTCCAGATGTCTCTTTACCAACAAGGGTTTCTTCTCCCACAGTTCACTGTAGCAACATAAAACACAAACCAAATATATTAACTCTATGCTTTTGATACCTCTTGCCTGACATTAGAGTTAAGTCATTTTTTCAATGTACTTTTGTGCATGTATATGAAAAAAAAACAGTCAACTTCCATGTGCAATTGGAAATTATACTTAGTAATATGAACAGGTGACAAAAACAGGATGCAAAAATTTGGAAATGAAAGAATGACAAAATCAGGAATGCCATACAGGTAAGTCTAAAGGCATCAAAAAGAAGAACATAAAATTCTTTATTCAAAACTGACCTTAGGCCACACCAATTTAATTTCTTGGTTAACGGATTCGCCGCTTCATTTTTTTCTGATTTGCAAATAAAAATAAAAATTCAGAATCAACTGCAAAATGCTCATATTTTGCCCTAAACAGTTGAAAACAGTCATTTTCATCCTAGTTGTTACAGTTATTCCATCTTTCAATGCAGTGGTATCATTGAAAGTTCAAAATTCATTGTTTAAATTTTGAACCAGCCTGGTGTGTTGACTTCATGGCTCCTATTGTACCATTTTGGGCCATAATAGGATGCCTAGGCCTGTTTTTATTTTTTTATTTTTTTTCGCCCGCCTGCCCCATTATTTTTCTAGGAAAATTCGTTAACCAAGAAATTAAATTGGCGTGGCCTTATGGGATTTTTTTTGTAATGACTTCCATACATGGGATAGTACATTTTGAAATTTCCAAACACATTGTTCACAAATGTTCTGAAAAAATTTATTAGAGATGTCCAATTATCAATACTTGTTGTACAGTCTGTATACTATTCGTTTTTTATGCCAAATGCACTTCTATTGTAAGTAAGAAGAAAAATCCTCTCTTCTATTCTCCTTGACTATCTAATAGTCCATGACTACAAATAAAAATATGATAGGGACATTCTTTTATTAAGTACAAATTTTCTACAATGTACATGTTACATGTAAAGGGGATGTCTACTTCATATGATTGTACACATATCTATGAAAGAATGAATAATAATTCAAAACTGACCTGAAGAACTTTTCCTTCTTGACAGGATGGATGAGCCATTCAAACATTTTCTCCCCCTCCTCTGTACTGTTCTCCACCTCTCCTATATCCACAGCCTTGGCAGGAGACTGGACACTCTTAGCTGTGTTCGATCTCACCTTCTGTAGTTAACACAAACAATCTTCATCTTCATCTTTGCCGGGGCTCAAAGATGTTATGTGAGCCCCGGCTACACCCCCATATAGCCCCTGATGGGGCACTTTAGGGGGTGGGGGAGGCCTTGGTCTAAGGCGGGCATGCCTCCAGCCTGGCCCGGAAGGACTCAACGGTGGGAGCCATAACTACCGGGCCAGGCAAGGCGATCGCCAATCAGAGTCTTGAAGGCACCCAAAGCGATTTCAGGGCAGCAAAACTAAATTTTTAAAGTCTATTATCTCATCATTTTATTATAGAAATGTAGTTAACTTGAATCAACCCTATCCCATAATGTACTGATATCTGTGAGACAAAAATGCAATGTCACTGACGGAAAACAGTACGGTTGCTTGTTTCCCATTGTAGGCTGGTTCTACCTATTTATTGGTGGTACCAAAAAGTTACTCAATGCTTCAAGTATGGAATGACGAAAATGTGCTAAGAAATGTCAATATCAGACAAGGATGATTCCCCGTCTAGAATATATTTTGTTTTGCCCCCTTGCAATTGCATTGTCAACATAAACAGTCTCTGCTGGTACAATCTGCAATTCATGTTCAGTATCATATGCATACAGCATTAAAACTTTTTTAGTTTTATGGCAAGCACAGATTATTCAAAATTACAGTGTATATCAGTAGCTACCAGTAATTTGATTAAATTCTTAAATGTTTGAATTGGAAGCTGAACAGTAGAATCACTGAGTCTCTATCCTGACATATAGAAACAAAGGATGCTGACATCACCTTCACAGGTGTCTTGTCATCGCTGTCTTCTTCCATACCAGGTGGTTTTCTCTTCTGTGGTATTCTTGCACTGATCTTGAGTTCAGGTTTCACATTCTGACTGCCTTTGAAATTACTCTTTCCTGTTCATTGAGCAACAATTGCCATGAGTTATATAATTATCAATCCAGTAGGGCCTCAGTAAAAAATGTTGTGTTTTCTGTTTCAGTCCTGAAAAAATTACAGTTGGGATTATCTTTTTCTTCTTTTCTTTCTTTAGACTTTGGCGATCTCTTGTGATCCAACTTATGCAATACAGTTTAACAAAGTGAAACTTGTATTCATGAGGACACATATCCATTACCACCAGCTCGATTTTGCGTCATATGCATGGCAACTATTGAGTCTTATTTGCGACTTCTCAAATCCTGCTAGGATAGTGTGTTGTTTTTTTTAAGACAAACTACAATTTGTACCGGTTACCGATGCCAGATAGTATGCCTTTATGGACCCAGACCGCGGTTAATTTAGCCGGTTAATAAATGGACTCGGCCACAAAAACGTCACAGCTGCACACGCTGACGTTCTGATGCCCCTCCCTTCCACCATTTACCTCCATGCTTCGACGCAGCTCAATCCCGATTGCAGGAAGTCTCCGATCGAGTGGCATCTCTTTACCAGGTTTTTTTCGGGGCGTCACAAATCTTGCAAATGGACCCGGACGATCGTCGAGTTCTCCATAATTTTACACGAAGACTAACGTCACACAAGCGGCAAATATAGTCTTCCGGGTTCCGAGGAAAAATACTTGTAGTAGTGCCTTTTCCTCCAGCAAATGGCCGTCTTTGTGTGGCTTTTTTTCGCTAATGACTGTTGCCATCATGATTTCGCGAAAATTTGCCGATAACATGGTAAAAAAAAAAACATCTTGCCACGAAAATCGCCCGTCCCCCTGGCAGCTCTCGATCTCGCACATGTGAGATTTTCGCGGGCGAGTTTTGACACAGCAACAAAATAACAAGGTCACGTGAGAAATAGGGCAGCGTGATTGGCTATAGCGCGAGCGGGTCATCCAATCAGCAAAGGCCCCGCCCAGCGCGTACCTCATTATCATATTTGACGTCATGACCAGCGGTCCCAGACGTGATTTTTTTCGTTTGCCCGCTTGCCCGCCCTACGGCGGGCAAACGAAATTGTGTTCGCTTTCCTACATGCTCCTAGGTAGGTACGTTCGTTGGTCCTAATTACGTCATCTTTCTGTTGTCCGAGTCGGGTCATTGTGTCTGCGCTGTCTGCGCTTGGGGTCCCGTATGTACATGAAGCGCTAAAAATTGGGCTACTATAAGATAAAATGTCACCACAGCTCTATGTTTGACAAAATTAAACATTTTAAATATAATTTTACGTCAAAATGTCGCCCACGTGAGCCATAAACTGACAAAAGCCACACATTGCTCATCGTTGCATATATTATGTTAATAAGCCAGCAAGATCTGGCAGTGGCAGTACGGCCTATCCCCGCTAGGGTGCGCAGGGTTCTAGCTAGCGCGAAGTAGCGTCGGGGCCCGCGACGCTAAAATTTTGACCCGCTACGCCAATTTTTCCCCGCTACGCTAATTTTCACTACAACGTAGCGGCATTGTGACTGTATTTCTTTGTTAAAGAATGCCAGATCAAATGTGCAAAATGTTTTTTTTAGCGCAGTAACGCATGTGCCGGGCCTCCCAGGAGATGGGGGGGCGGGCCTAGGCGGGTCTTCCTGGATCTTTGCAACTTCTGTTGCAGCCCTTCTGTGAGTGACAGCGGCTCTAGACACTGGTGCCAGAGAGTCTGGGCGAGTCCAGGCAAGGGATGTCCCGCCCCCTTCCTAGTGTCGGCTTTCCCTTTGGGACTCCATATATGGGCTGGCCTATTTAAAATTCCCACGATGTCTGTACACATGTAGCAATTTTCCCTAGCCTAAAAGAAAACACAAATGTTTCCTCCCATGTTCAACAGATCTCTCCATGTAACTCTTGACATTAACACCTTCCACTAAATTGCATTAATTCTATATCTTGGCAAGGTAAAAAATGCAAAGAGTTACTAAGTCACCAGCGTAATAATTAAAGAAAATAAAGTGCTTTACTGTTTACAGTCGGCCGGCCGCCTAACATTCACCCGGCTCCCGAAATGGGGAGGGGCCCACAGCGGCAAATTTGCGTTGACTTACTCCGTATCCAGTGTCTGTGAAAATTTGCCACTTTAGTAAACTAAACAAGGGAGTTCACCCCATGGATCCGTTCATAGTTTAAACAAGTAAATATAAATTATTGCTCTTTTGTCAAATTTTTGCCGTTTACCGGTGTCTGTGATCTTTGTGACACACGTGGGTTTTCTTCCCACTGTCCCACACATGTCTCAGTGCCGGTGCCATGCCGATTTCATGCTCTTAGCTACTGTGCGATCTATGTCAACATACTGCCTGTAATCATGTCAGCATCAAAGCTTGGCAATAACAACAAAGCCACGTGTAGAATTACATCATATTTCGGCCCACTTTTGCAGAACAGAAATGCCACAAAGGAGATTAAAAGAGGCACTATTAGCAGGCAAAACAGACGGATTTCTTATTTTATTTATAGTTGTTTTTTTTGCATGTAGAGTATTACAACTTTGCACACCAGATTAAACGTACTATGTTTAACATTTAATTTATCTCAGAGCCTGTTCTTGGTTGTGTCTGATTTGGAGTATCTTCTGTATTTTGTGAAGATTCCAAGCTGCAAAGATATAAAAATTACTAATCAAGGATACATTGTACATACCTTAGAAATAACATTTTTTCCCTTTGGGTATCCCTCAAATGGCTGCTTTTTAAGATTATATTTTTAAAAGCTCCGCACTTCAAACAGTTGTCGGCTTACTCTTAGAGGTCAGGAACGCTGTAGGGGTCATTTGTTGTGTAGTTTGAATATATGTTGCAAGCCAAGCCCTTACAAATACACTTCCATGCATGGCTGCTTTGATACAGTGTTATTAAAATTATACTACTAGTATGTCAAAGCAGCTATGCATGGAAGCGTTTTTCAGTTATCATGTTCAGTTGCACATAAACACAAACCAGTTAATGAAGGCAGCATGATGTAATTAAGCAAAACTGAATTTAATGTATTAAAAAAATTGAATTACTGTATTTTTTTCTTTCAGTGACTACCGTTGTTTGCTAACTCGTGACTACTGTACATGTTCTTGCACTGCACTACATTTCTCACACTCCCTTTGAAGCAGACTGTAGATTTGACAAGTTAACGGTACAAAGTTTCACACTGCCCTTGAGCAGACTGCACACCTGCGCTGAACATTTAATTCTTCACATTGCCCTTGAGCAAACCCTATAGTTGTGCTGGACATTTGTCACACTGCCCTTGTGCAGACACTTGCGCTAAACAAAGTTCAATGTCACACTAAAACTGCCCTTGAGCAGACTGCACACCTGTGCTGAACATTTAATTCTTCACATTGCCCTTGAGCAAACCCTATACGTGCACTGGACATTTGTCACACTGCCCTTGTGCAGACACTTGTGCTGAACAAAGTTCAATGTCACACTAAAACTGCCCTTGAGCAGACTGTACACTTGTACTGAACTTGTACTCCTATTAAAAGTTCACATTGCTAGAACTCTTCAAGCAAGCTGTATGTTTGCTCTGACTGATGATCCTGAAGCACACTTGAAACTGTTGATTACATGTACATTAGCAAAGCACAAACCACGTACATAACTATGAAGGAAAACCACTAACTGATACAATTGTGGACTATGTGTGACGCTGTATTGTCAGCATATTATCACCAAGGCGATTTTATATTCAATGAAAGAAGTAGAGGTAGACAATGCACCTCAAATGCTCTGATAGCCATTGCATATCACAGTAGTTATAAAGACTTGAATTCCTGGATCAGCACTGATCTTGATTCTGTTTTGTTTCAAGGCGATGAACTTTACAATTGCATATTGACCTCACTGCCACCTACTGTAGACTACTTGTCAATTAATGATCTCCCAGAATACTTGGAACTGAACAACACTACTGTACATATTTCTATTGAAGAAGCTTTCACGGGAGATATATTCAGCACAGAAGCAGATTATCCATACTATACATTGCAGACTGCCCTGCTTGAAGCATTTACTAGATCTGATACATGTTTGTTCATAACTGCATCTGCATTGGCAGGTTCAACTGTAGCACTATTCCATACTAATAACAGATACTTTGTATACGATTCTCATGCCAGAAATAATAAAACGGCATTGCCTGATGGTGATGGTGCTTCTACACTTAGTATGCACATGTCTTTGAGTAACTTACTTCAGTTCTTGCAACAGCTTAATGAAAATACAAGACCAACATGTTATTTTGAGGTCGTACCAGTGCAAACAGAAAATGTACAGTCTTCAAGCGATTCTTGTTGTCTGCACAGTGATATTGTAACTGAGAGCAATGTGCATTTGCACAACAACTCAAAAGTAACAGAAAGAGAGTCTAGGTCCACAACAGAAAAATTGCAATGTCCAAACAAAGTATGCAATTTTACACAGCATTCGCAATTTGAACTGACTACTAGCAGTTCCAGTCTAAAGAATGAATCAATGAATACTATTGCTGACAATGACTCAGAGGAGCTGATGACATTTCCAGTAAATACCAAACAAAAAGAAGACAAAGGGCCAAAGCCAACGGCTATGTACAAACCTACAAAAGCAGAACAGACCATTGAACAAAAAATAGAAAGAAATGCATATCGCCGCAAAATGTACAGAGCTAAAAAAGCAAAAGAGACAAATGAGCAAAGAATGGAAAGAAACGCATATCGCAGAAAGATGTACAAAGCTAAAAGGAGCAGCAGAGACAAATGAGCAAAGAATGGGAAGACTTGCACGTCGCAGACAAACTGACAAAGCTAAAAAAGCAGCAGAGACTAGTGAGCAAAGAATGGAAAGAAATGCATGTCGCAGACAAAGTAACAAAGCTAAAAAAGCAGCTGAGACTAGTGAGCAAAGAATGGAAAGACTTGCATGTCGCAGACAAAGGAACAAAAATAAAAAGGCAGCAAAAACACCTAAGCAAAAGACAGATGAGCTTGAAAATGAAAGAATCAGATACACTGAACAAAAGCTGAAAATACTGGACCAGCAAAAGAGGAGGCGCACAAAAAACAAAGCAACAGAAACTCCTGAGCAAAAGGCTCAAAGATTTGAAAATGAGAAATCAAGATACAAAACTAGAAAAGCTAACGAGAGTCCTCAGAAAAGATCTCAAAATCGTAAGAAGAGCCGTGACTATAAAAGGCAGAAAACTGCTGATCAATATGTAAACAGACATAGCACATAAAATACTGACTGCAGAAATGAGCAACACAAATCACAATTCCCAGCATTCCATTGTTACATACAGCAACAACCAAAGTACTATTGTATTGTATGTAGAAAACACTTGTTCCATGATCAGGTGCAAAGTTCCAATATTCCGATAACTCATGAAATGCTTGAGAAATACATGCATCAAGATGAAAACTCTACTCAATACCATTTGTGTTCAAACTGTTCAAATTGTCTTGAAAAACAGAAACCAATTCCCAATGCGTGGACCAATGATATGGATCCAGGTGACATCCCAGCATGCCTTAAACAGCTCACTAGAATGGAAACACGACTTATCAGTCTAAAGTACACATTTATCAAATTGGTTGTCTTACCTGGGGGACAATTTGGTGAACAAGGTCAAGCTATTAGCTTTCCTACCAACATTGAAACAACCTGCAATCTGTTGCCACGCTGTCAAGATACATCAGGAGTTGTAATAGTACATCCTTCTGATACTGAGCACAAGGAAATGATCCACAACATGTTGTACGATTTGCCTATATGACTGAAGGTCTCACATGGCTCTTAAAGCATAACCATCTTTACTCCAATGTGAATATGGCTTCATTTGAAGACTGGAAAGACAATTCAAGTGAATTCCTTGCTCAAGACATTGATAATACCAATCCCTCAAACACTGTAAGTACTGTTACGGAACTCTCTGCTTGTCCTTGTGATTATATCAATCCAAATCTACCCTTACAAAGTCTGTTACAAAATGCAACTGGAAATGTACCAGTGATATCACTTCCCCGTCTTACATCAACACCGCAAAGTATTTTCAAAGACAAAGATCTAGAGGAACACTGCTTCCCACAGCTGTATCCCTATGGTCGTAATGGCTGCCAACACACACGTGATACACATATGACAGACTTACAATACTTTCAGTCTCGACTGCTCAATATCAATCCTTGCTGGAGGAAAAACATACCATGGCTGTTCTTTGCTTTGAACACATTTGAAATAAAGAAACTGTACAATCAGATATCAATTGTATGTAGAATGCAGAAGCAACATAATGCGAGCTCACAATCTGCGTCACAACCACTGACAGCAGGTGATCTGCGTCAGAATATTGATGAAGACGTTGAAAAATACATCATACACTTTTATGAAGAACATTCGTGGAACAGCAGCATACTTCAAAGACCAACTGCTTAACCTACTGGCAAAAATCAACACAATTGGCCCTCCAACATGGTTCATCACTGTCTCAGCAAATGACTTGAACTGGCCAGAGCTATTCATGACTCTCAATCCTAATCTGACATATGAGCAAGCAAAAGCCCTACCACAAAAAGAAAAATGGAACCTGATGAGATCAGACCCTGTCATGTGTGCCATCCATTTCAACCGACGCACTGATGCACTTCTACGCTTCATACTGAACAGTCCACAACATCCTATCGGTGAAATCGGAGACCACTGGATTCGTATCGAGTTTCAAACGAGAGGGTCACCTCATTTGCACTGCATGTTCTGGGTTGAAAACGCGCCTGACCTTGATACCATTGAAGGAAAACAAAGTGCACCTGAATTCATAGACAAATATGTGTCCACACAACTACCAGATGACAAGAACTCTCTCCTGTACAGCCTAGTATCCAAATACCAGACTCATCATCACACCAGCACGTGTAAGAAATACCGAGTAAACTGACGATTTCACTTTCCTCGAGAAGTTTCCAACACTACACGTCTCAGACTAGATGGGCAAACGACAGCTTTTTCAAAAGCACTTGTTTTTTCCAAAATCCAAGTGGCACCCGGCCAGGCTAGTTTAATCTTGGCAGCTGAACTTTCATTCAAGATCATTCAAGTCTAATAAGACTCATACATGCTACAACCACGTTATCACACCATTCAATTTCGGGGGGTTTGTAGTCTCTACCAGACTAACTACGCTGGAGTTTGGCCGAGATCTAACGCGTTAGGTTTGACTGACCGCGCAGGGAAAGAAACTAACTTTTACTCCTCGCGGGCAGACTCCCTTGGCCAATTTTACTCTCTTTTTTTTTTGCCGAATTCTACAATCCGTATTCCTGTAGAAAGGCCTGGTGGAGGCTAGGGGGTTTGTGGGAAATTCCATTACAAGCAATATTAACGTTACAAAACGATTGTGCAGCAATTTGCCAGAAAATACGTACCGAGAACATGGCAGGAATCTCCCGCAGCGAGACTGACGCTAAACTTTGCAAGCTTTGCCACGACGAAAGTCTGACGGGAGACAATATCAGGAAGGTTGTCTTGCTTGCTTGCTTCTGCTGGTAATAATATATCAAGTCACTTGTACCCAGATTCCAGGATGTGGCCAAAAACAACATTAAGTTTACAACATACGTTTCTGAATCTCAGCCGCGAATACATCGCAGGTCGACAAGAGGAATTCTTTTACAGCATTTTCCCGCCACGTTTGAAGAACGGAGTCCTCCTGGCTAGCGACGTGTCCTTTTCTTGTCATATGCCGTTTTAATCCCGGCAACTTTGCGTACAGTGTTCCACAGCCAGGACAGAAATGGGGTCCGGTGTGGATCCTCCTCAAGTGTTCGGCTATTTTGTATCGGTGTGTAGTCCTTGCTGTACACCCCGGGAATGGACAGTAGAAGTGCCCTCCCTCGCCTGTTGCAAACAAAGATATGATGATCTCGCAATGACTTGGGCGCTCTTTGGAATCTGCCCGAAGCTGAACAAGGCTGATCCCCAGCCGTCCTGTTTCTTCGTGAGTTAGAATGTCCACCGGCCGCTGCAGAAGTTCTCCGGTTGTCGAGTAGTGAACAATTACGGGATCTTTCTCGGCCATACCGTTACTACCTTACGTGGTCCATGCTGCTCTGATGCAAACTGTAACCATATGTGTGAGCAGGTCCCAAGGGAGGGCAACGCAGCATGTCCCCGTGCCTGCCTTGTATCTGCTTACGTAGGTCAATTTCTGTACACTTTATTCCATAAGCGAGAACATATCATCAGTACATGATCATATGGTTACTCAAATACTGTTTAGATAGTAGTTTGTAGTAAGTAAAGTTTTGTAGTATTGTTGTATGGATTTTAATACTGCCACACATTGTACCTTGTACCATTGTTGAGCAATAAAGTTCATTCATTCATTCATTGGTTGGAACAAGGAGCCTTGGTTGGAACAAGGTTGGAACAAGGTTAAATACTTGTATTCAACCTCCTTGGATTTAACCTCCTTGGTTGGAAGTGGTGAAAATGAAATACATACGATTTTTATATTACACATAGGTATTGTTTGTAGAAAGATTTTTCGGATGTTGACTGTAATTAAAACTTTATCCAGTATCATTAGATTTAAAAATTATTTAACTAACTAAAGGGAAGGCATATTACTACATTCCTCTCCAGATGTCAATACTGTAACATGAATAGAATAGAAGATGAACAACACTTTATTTTAGACCGTACTTTACATTCTAATGAAAAATCTGTGCTTTTTTAATCAAACTTTGCCAACCCAAGCATCTGGGATATGAGTAACTCTGTCAGGTGCAAGTGGGCACCCATAACTGCATAACTCGTTAACGTATGTAATACATGTATTCTGATTCCCTTATCATCATCATCATTCCAAGGACTGTGGAATTCATTCACAGCCTCGGTTTTCACTGTCATTGCTAATATTTAATCAAATACCCGATGTTCCATCGTACAATCGATGAAGCTCAGCTCAATCAACTACTAGTATGTCACACTCATCAACCAAAGTTCGTAGGTTTGAAAGCTTTGAGTAAACACGATTCACAAGTGATGTTGAGTGTTGTTGTTCAGTTGAGAGAATAACAATCGATTGAAAATGTTAAAATAGTTTCTCAATAACTGTACTGTGTACAAATATTTCGCAAATCCTACCAGTATTTTTGTTGCCGCCCACTGGAGAGAAAAAGAGAACATCCAGCGATGACGGCAACGATGACTCTGAAATCTGGATTGACGACCCCTCTGAGACAGAGATAGTCAATGGTGCTGATGACAACACTGAAGACGACTTTACTCCGGCGGCAGACCAACTCCGCTCTGGTTGTTTCGTGGCCATTGCCTACAATGAAGGCTGGTTTCTAGGAGAGGTAACGGAAACCAATAACAACGACCCCACTCACCTCGAAACTGTCTTCAAGAAAAAAAGTGAAGCAGGTGGGTGGTAAGGGCCGGCGCTGTTTCTGTGGACAAGAGACTTGTATTCGCTTCGGCGAATGTATTTCCGATGTCCAACAGATTCTGCTGACCAATTACGATAACGCTGCAATTTCGAGCAGTACAGTTCTAAATACACTAAAACTTTTTTTGGAAACTGATTTGGCGCATGACATGGACATTTCCATCAGAAATCTGGTTGTTGTTATTCCTAGTTACTATACATAGGCTCCATCTGGTTTATATTTGTATATTAGGCCACACCAATTTAATTTGTTGGTTCTCTGATTTTTTCAGAAAAAATATGAAGCGACAGGGCGAAAAAAAATAAAAATAAAAACAGGTCTAGGCATCCTATTATAGGCTTAAATGCTACAAAATGAGCCATGAAGTCAACACAAAAGGCTGGGTTAAAATTTAAACATTGAATTTTGAACTTTTAATCAAACCACTGCAATGATAGATGGGAAAACTGTAACAACTAGGAAGAAAAGGACTTTCCTCAACTGTTGGGGGCAAAACATGAGCATTTTTCATTTGATTCAGGACCAGAATCAAATTTTTTTTTTTTTTTGCAAATCAGAAAAAAACGAAGAGGCGAATCCGAGAACCAACAAATTAAATTGGTGTGGCCTTACATATGAATGACGACCTTTATTGTACATTTTTGCCACACCACCGGGATAAGTAAACAACGAAACACGATGAACAGGCACAGTTAACAGGTACAAAATTTAACTAACAAATTAGTTAAATTCAAAAGAACAGATATGGAATTCGATGGAAGATTTCTCTAGTTGCATTAGGATTATAAATTTTTCTACAGTGCTTATGTGTATTAAATAGGGGAATAGGTTCTGTACATACACAGTTCATATCTCTCATTGCTAAACAATCTATCACTAAAATCACTCGTCCTACATGTATATCTTATAGGTCTATGCAAGTTACAATATTTACAAAATGTTAGTGTCTTCCAGTTTCAATATGTAGTTTGAAAGTATGTTTTTAACCATGGGCCAATAAAGCCAACAATTTGAAATGTATTTGTTTTATGCAGTCAGAACATGAAAATGCCACTAGAAAGCAAATCTTGGTACATACATAATGATTGTTAACAGAACTGATTCAGTTGGACAGGATTTGGGACTTTTTAATGAGTTTGAACAGAAGCATTTGTCAAAGAGTTTGTTTCTAAGTACATGTAACAAAAATGGGTGCATCAGTGTTGTCTAGTGATTGTTTGATCCCAAACAAAGCAACGAGGAATGCGGCTGCATCTCCTGGACTTCCTTAGCCAGCTTGGCTTTTTGTAGAGCTGCCGTTAGGGCTGCGTGTTGTCCCTGAAGCGTCTCCAGATCTGGTTCTGTCGGCGAAACCTCCACATGTTCGGTAGATGGCGGAATCCCCGTACAATACTTCCCCGTCAGTCCGTGGGGATGGTCCCATGCGAGCTGGCCGCAACCCTTGCATTTTCTCTTGCTTTTAATTGCAGATAGACGGCATGGCTGAGGCAGCTGGGCTGAGGGTCGGGGCAGCAGTGAAGAAAGGACGGCCTAGCGTGGCCGTGTGCAAGCGCAGAATGCTTCTGTCACTAGACGTTTGCTACTACTCAAGAACCTAGGACAGTGGTAGGGCTCGAAATTCATTTTTGGGAATAGGTGCACCCAACCTAAAATATTATTAGGTGTACAAAACATTTTTTGGGTGCACCATATAAAACAAAAACTACATATCTTGTTGCTTCTCTTCTGAGCTTGAATCTGAAATGGGGGCTAACTTACAACAAAGATTTTATTATTTTTCTGACACTTGTATGCCAAAAATACGTACAAAAATATTTTGAGTGCAGAAAAATTGGGAGCACAGCTCCAATTTTAGGTGCACTAAGGTGCACATGCACCCAGCCCTGAGTGAGAACCAATTATTTACCAATACCAATATTCAAGAGTCTCCCACATGCTACTATCCACCTAATTAGCAAACACAGCAGGAATTCATTGTCAATTAGAACAGACACGCCCCAATCTCTGAATGTTGGGTCCACTACGTATGGCAGAATATGACACCCGCCGTATGTCGCTGAAATAACGCATTTTCCTGGCAGGCAGTGCCATTATCTTATCTGGCATCGATACCCGGTAGTTTTAGCCTGACTAATCGCGCTCCTGGCGGCCGGCCGCCCCGAAGTTGCCGCCCGTGTAACACAGGCTACCGGTAGTTTGTCCCTACCGTATTTGAGAAGTAGCAAATAAGACGCAATAGTTGCCATATGACACAAAATCGAGCTGATATATCGTCAATGTCAATGTTGGAAAAAAATTTGTACATTGTTTCATCACTCTGGTCATGAGGCTAGAAAAAGTCCAGCAGCTCGAAAAATTTTATGTCCCTTGCAGGGGTCCACACAAAAAATGGGCTAGGGTCGGCAGTTTTTTCTAGGGTCGGTCTGGAAACACAACATTTTTTCCTAGGCCTTAGGAATTTAAAGGACTAAAATTATAAGTATAAAAAAATATATGTAGATGAAGGTTAGACATAAAACTTACGTGTTACATCTAAAACCAGTTTACCGGTTAAGTACAACAAACAAAAAAGTAATACCAAACTTTGACAGAGCATACCAAGACTGTTTTCCTCTGCACCTCCTGTATGCTGTGGTTGTTGCACTCTTGTTGTTGTTGTTGTCGGGCTTGTTTTCATCTTGTACCCCTTCAGTTTCACCCCATCCTCTCCCTGTCCTGTGTTCTGTGAGACAGGCATGTCCCTGTGTGTAGCCACGGGTTGGGAACCTGGCAGAAGGAGGCAAGGTGGTACTGTGGTTAGGGTTGTTCACTCAGAATCTGAAGGTTCTGGGTTCGAATCCCTGACAGGTCCCACTGTTGTGTCCTTGGGAAATGCACTTTACACCTACATTGAATTCAGTTTCTTTGATTGCATTGCAGGACTTGTATTTTATATTACATTCTTGTATTATGTCTATATTTTTGGTGGGTCAGCCATTACCAGCTGAGTCTGCCTGTGCTGACCCAAGTTATAATTATGACACAGGGCTCAAAATTCATTTTTGGGAATTGGTGCACTGGTGCACCCAACCTAAAAATTTAGGTGCACAGAATTTGGGGTGCACCTCAAAACAAAACCTAATTGCAGATCTTACTGCTTCTCTTCTAAGCTTAAATCTGAAATGGGAGCTAACTTCAAAATCTTAAACATTACAAGTACAACAAAGATTTTCTGACACTTAGAATATCCAGTATTACTGTATACATTTAATATGTACAAAAATACCTACAAAAATATTGCCTACATAATTACCTACAGAAAAAAAATTGGGTGCACAGCTACAATTTTGGGTGCACTAAGGTGCACATGCACCCAGTATTTCGAGCCCTGTGACAAGTATCAGTGTCAATTTAAACTTAATTTTTACATAAAGACCACACTGCACTTACCAAAAAGAGTATGGGACCTTCCTGCTGTGCGTGGTTCAAAGTTTAGTCTTAAGCAGCTTATACATGTACTTACTGTACAAAACTGCCAGTGCATTATGCCTAAAGGTGGTTTACTGGTTATGCAAAATAAACAAACAAAAAGAAACAAACAGACCTGACTTTCCCTTCAGGGCTTGCTTGATTTTCCGAGTGGACTTCCTCAGGCTGAGACGTCTCATCTTTAGAGGAGTCTTGGGTGTCTTTGTCACACCTATCTGTTGAACAGTGGGTCCTTTTGCCTGCGAACAAATAATTCAAGAACGAAGAATAAAAAAAGAAATTGAAAACTACATGTACTAAGATAACATTTGCAAAGCAAATTAATAATGTTTACCTTCGCATATTGTCTGATCTGTTAATTCTTACTCAGACACATTCATATATATGGTGACAGAGTCTAAATCCCTCCTGCTACAAAATTGCAACATGATGTACTAGTAACCCAACACTAGTTACCATGGTGACAGACGTCTGATTCAGGTCATTGAGCTTTTGTGTTTGAAGAAGAAGAAACAGAGCAAAAACAATATGCAATATGTTTTCCTTCTATAAACATTATTAATAATTCTATTTCAAACTTCTGTGACGAAGCATTACGAGTAAATGTAATTTTTTTTGCTTTATTCATTATTCATTATTGAGGTTTGAGGGAGACAATTTTCATCTCCAATTTGACCTTCCTGTCAGTCTGTGCTTACACCATTTTCTCCCTCACTTCCAGTGGCTCTACTGGATTCAAATATTTGATTCAAATAAGTATGGAGATATAAGCAAACAAACAACTACACCGAAAACAAAACCTCCATACACTGTAGTGTTATTTATGTTACAAAGTTATATGAGTATATACGAGTAATATATGACAACACATGCAACTTAGCATATAGTCAAATGACAATATATATCATTCTGTCAAATTATGTCTCGACACATATTTTTCAATTATTCATTCAATGATTTCATAATAATTTGTATTATGGATTGTCATGGGTACAACTCGGTACGAATGAAAAAAGGAACACATGTCTGAAATATGGTGATTTTTTTTGTCTACCCATATCTTTTTATAAGCACCCCCCCCCCAACCACATGGAATATATTTGTTGACTTTATTCTACTCATCCCCCCCCCACACACACACACACGCACACACACTTGGGCAACTTAGACCACATTCATGTCTACCTTAGACTTGACAAAGACACCGAATGCCGACTGCCTCTTTGCTGGGATGTTTTGGGCCATTTTTGTTCAGACGAATAATGCTATGCTAATCATAAAACGTCCCTAATTAGCGAATTAGCGCACGTTTTGTCTGACTAGCTTAGTCGTCTGTGCCGCCAAAAAAATAACTGACCTCTGTAACCTTTGACCTCAACAAGCTTTATCTTTTTTGGAAAAAAAATAAAAACAGGGAAAAGAAAACTCTTTTCTTTTTGGCGATATTTTACTTAATATCTTCCATACAAAAGAAATTAATGCAACGTTACGTGTGTAAGAAATTTAGAAATGTCAGATATTATTTTTCCCGTGGGGCAGCTCGCAGATCAGAGGTCAAGAAAATGGCGGAAAATATTTCGTTGCTGCTGGAGATGTGACGCCAAAATTTTTGTTTTCGGGTTTCTATCCAGCTTACGTCGTCTACGAAGCGTTAGTTTCACGTAAGTTATCACTTGTGGTACGTTATAGGCTTGTGGAAATCGGTAACGTTCAACACTAAGAGGAAATTGATCGAAAACTGTGTCAAAATGTGTTATGTTTTAGTTTGGCATCAGATTTCTTTTCATAAAATTATGGTCTCAGAGCTCGAGCATTATCTTCTGATTTAAAATCTTTGACACAACATAAAAGCTCCTTGATTTACGAAGTAATTAATATTCAAGCCTAATGCCAATTGATGTTTCAGAAATTCCGTTTTAAACCGCTTTAAAATAACGATTTGGTCTCAAGCAGATGTGATTTGTAAGTTTTTTTTTTTTATTGAAAATACCAGGCTTCTGTTCCATGTGCATGTGTATGTGTATGTTCCGTGTGCATGTGTAATAGACAGTAGACTCATCACTATGCTGAAGAAGACTGCTGAATTAGGAGAATTCGGCATTTTGACAATTAGTCATCATCATAATTACCCCCATATGGGGGCCTGCATGGGGGGTCCCGACAACGCTCCACACAGAAACCTCTCGATTACGCTTTACGATAAATTCCATGTGGCTACAACGCATTACGTGGAATTAAAACGGTGAATACGCTCTATGCAAAATGCGCCAACTACGCTCTACGTTGAATTAGAGCGGTCTGTCTACGCTCTACGTAGAATTAAAACGGCCGATTACGCTCTACAGAAAAGGGCATGCGGGCCCCCCATATGGGAGCCGCACTAGCCGTCACAACTGTGCCATAATCTCCAAGCATATCCTACGGCGGTGGCAATGCTTAATTTGGCCGCATGAGTGACCATTAAGCCTTTGGCCAGTGGTTACAGGCTTACAGCCATTGCCACGATAAGATCTGCTTGGAGATTACTACATGCCAGTCAAGCAGGAACATCCTGTCAGTAGTGCAAAATTCTTATCGACAGGAACCTATTTCCATTTTTCAGCATTGAAAACAGAGACATGACGAACTAAAAATTAAACCATGGACATCACTCGAGGCAGTCTGGAGAACATCACTAAACCGGCCCGGTCCGGTCGGTCCCGTCCTGACAGCAGAGTGTCCCTCAGTAGTGCCTCCTCCAGGAGGAGTTACACTGGAACATCCCTGGGGTCGCTGGAAATCCTCACACCAGAACCTCCACTGCTTCAGGTACTAGTACTTACTGGGACAGAAGTATTGTTTTAGGACACGTTAGTTGATAGTTTGTGTGTTTGTATCGAGTCTACACTGGAACATCCCTGGGGTCACTGGAGATCCTTACACCAGAACCTCCACTGCTTCAGGTACTAGTACTTACTGGGACAGAAGTATTGTTTTAGGACACGTTAGTTGATAGTTTGTGTGTTTGTGTCGAGTCTACACTGGAACATCCCTTGGGTCACTGGAGATCCTCACACTAGAACCTCTACTACTGCAGGCACTGTAAGTTCATTCGGGACAGAAGTATTGTTTTAGGACACGTTACTAGTAATTGATAGTTTGTGTGTTTGTGTTGAGTCTACATGTACACTGGAATATCCCTTGGGTCACTGGAGATCCTCACACCAGAACCTCCACTACTGCAGGTACTTACAGTTCATCTGGGACAGAAATATTGTTTTAGGTCGCATTAATTGATAGTTTGTGTGTTTGTGTTGAGTCTACACTGGAATATCCGCGCATATCCCTTGGGTCACTGGAGATCCTCACCCCAGAACCTCCACTACTGCAGGTACTTACAGTTGAACTGTTCATCTGGGACAGAAGTATTGTTTTAGGTCATGTTAATTGATAGTTTGTTTGTTTGTGTCGAGTCTACACTGGAACATCCCTGGGGTCACTGGAGATCCTCACACCAGAACCTCCACTACTGCAGGTACTTACAGTTGAACTGTTCATCTGGGACAGAAGTATTGTTTTAGGTCATGTTAATTGATAGTTTGTTTGTTTGTGTCGAGTCCACACTGGAACATCCCTGGGGTCACTGGAGATCCTCACACCAGAACCTCCACTACTGCAGAGACTGTAAGTTCATCCGGGACAGAAGTATTGTTTTGGGACACGTTAATTGATAGTTTGTGTGTTTTTGTCAAGTCTGCAATGGAACATCCCTTGGCTCACTGGAGATCCTGACCCCAGAACCTCCACTACTTCAGGTATGTTCATAACTTCTAGGATGGAAGTACATTTGTATTGTTTTAGGTCACGTTAATTGATACTAGTAGTTTGTGTGTTTGTGTCGAGTCTACACTGGAACATCCCTGGGGTCACTGGAGATCCTCACACCAGAACCTCTACTACTGCAGGCACTGTAAGTTCATTCGGGACAGAAGTATTGTTTTAGGACACGTTACTAGTAATTGATAGTTTGTGTGTTTGTGTTGAGTCTACATGTACACTGGAATATCCCTTGGGTCACTGGAGATCCTCACACCAGAACCTCCACTACTGCAGGTACTTACAGTTCATCTGGGACAGAAATATTGTTTTAGGTCGCATTAATTGATAGTTTGTGTGTTTGTGTTGAGTCTACACTGGAATATCCGCGCATATCCCTTGGGTCACTGGAGATCCTCACCCCAGAACCTCCACTACTGCAGGTACTTACAGTTGAACTGTTCATCTGGGACAGAAGTATTGTTTTAGGTCATGTTAATTGATAGTTTGTTTGTTTGTGTCGAGTCACACTGGAACATCCCTGGGGTCACTGGAGATCCTCACACCAGAACCTCCACTACTGCAGGTACTTACAGTTGAACTGTTCATCTGGGACAGAAGTATTGTTTTAGGTCATGTTAATTGATAGTTTGTTTGTTTGTGTCGAGTCCACACTGGAACATCCCTGGGGTCACTGGAGATCCTCACACCAGAACCTCCACTACTGCAGGTACTTACAGTTGAACTGTTCATCTGGGACAGAAGTATTGTTTTAGGTCATGTTAATTGATAGTTTGTGTGTTTGTGTCGAGTCCATGCTGGGATCTGGGGTGACTGGAAATCCTCAGCCCAGAACCTCCACTGCTTTTAATGTCATTACCTCCAGATAAGAAGTATTGTTTTAGGTCACATTAATTGAAAGTTTGTGTGCAGAGGTCACTGTGAAAACTGAAAAAATTAAACTGCTGCCAAAGGTTCTTAGATTTACCATATGACGTCATATCACTGAGACTTTATCATACTAGGTCGTACAGGTATGTAGGAAAAGGATTTTTAGCCCTGCATTTTGCAAAATTTCGACTGATTTTTCACCATGCTTTCTTGTTCTCAGTATGAGGAAGAGGACATAGAACTTGAAGAGTACCTGTCTTCGGGTGACTCTGCCAGTGAGAGCGGGGAGGAGAGCTCCAGGTACGGACTGTCCAGTGAACTGTCGGACGTCCCGCAGTATGACCGCAGCGGTGCCCTCAGCCTGGGCCGGCACATGGAGGAAGCCTACAAGGCCGGCGTGGAGGCTGCACAGAAGTCCATCGCAGCCAGCCAACTCATTCCTATAGGTTTGTATGTTTATTTGTTTCACATAACCGGTAAGCCGCCTTTTTAGGCGTAACACACATGCAAGTACAAGCTGCGTAAGACCAGACTATAAGGTTTGAACCACTCACACCTGGAAGGACGCCTACTCTTTTCAATAAGTGTCGCAGGTTCTTAACTTTCTTGGGGTGTGGCTCTCCCAAACACAGGACCTCCATTTAACGTTCTATCAGAGGGACGTCTCTAACCGAATCGGAATGTAGGTACTTATTTGCACCTGATTGAAGTGAGGAAAGTCGTGTAAAGTGCCTTTCCCAAGGGCACAAGATCAGTTGCATCAGGCAGGATTCGAACCCAGGACCTCTTGGGTCTGAGCCAAGCACTCGAACATTACGCCACATGAATCCACAGGGTGTCTCACATGATTTTTGTGTATCTTTGTAGAAGGAAACAAACAAAAGAGATCAATGACCTGAACCAGAAGGTTGTCACCATGGTAACTGATGCTGTAGCAGACACCCTGTGGTGTTGGGTTACATTATGTAGCAAGTGGCAGGATACAGTTGGAGAGGCTGGTCACCACACATTATAAATTTGTTTAAGTACATAGTAAGAATAAACAGAGCAGTAGATGGGCTAGAGCCGCTAGACCGAGTGAAGGTAAACATTATGTATTTACTTTGCAATTGTTACATTTCTAGTTCATTTATATAAATGATAAATAAATATAAATTCATTTAAATATTCTGGAGTTATTGCTTCAATTTTTTTTGCTTATGTTTGTACTTCAGTTAAACCTCCGTCTTATTTTTTTAACATATCATTTATAATTAACGTTACTTACCAATTACTTTTGTTATTTATTGTTACTATTTGATTTGTTACCGTTATCACATTGATCAAATTTTTCAATTACTCATTGTTATTTATTACCATTTGATTTGTTACCATTATTACAGTTGTCAATTAATTTAGTCGGGGGAAGATCACGGACAAGCCATTATGGCTTCTTATCTTTCCACTGCATGTCCTATTTTACTGTAATTTGTTCATTTTATTGTTCTTCTCTCTGATTATATGCAAATAAACAAACAAACAAACAAACTAGTTTACCACAAACTTTAACTTCCTGATTTGTATGTTTCAGGGAGGGGGAATGGAGCAGCTGATGATGATGATGATGATGTTTCTCTTAATGAGAGTGGGACAGACTCTCCACTGCCCATCACTGATGGACAGAAGGAAGGAGAGGGTAAAGGAGAGGATAATGAAGAGACCATTGAGGTAATCATTTAATGAGCCACACTGTGGTGCTGGATTACATTATGTAGCAAGTGGCAGGATACAGTCAGATGGGCTGATCACCATATATACATGTATATATGGATAACCAACAGGTTATACCTGGTTGCCCAGTTGCCCTGGATGACCAAATTTTACTTGGTGCAACCTACTATTGAACCCAGGTAGCCCAGTGTGCTACTTGAATGTTAAGAATGCCCCCCCCCACCCACACACACACAAAATCATGCCCACTTGGCTTGCACCACTGTAGCCTGCAGATGCTTTTTCATTTTCATTTTAGGTATAAATAGCTATTACTAGTTACTAAAGGCTTTTAGAAATATTGTCAACGGCTTCCCCTTACATGTGTGTTATTGTATGTGCAACCTAATTTTTGCCGTAGTGGGCAACCTGGTTCAAAAAAGTATTTTGTACACTTGACCAATATATATATATACACTTGACCAATATATATATAAATAGGGTCA